TCTGACGGAGGAGGAGAATACACCTCTCAGCGATTCAAGCAGTACCTGGCGGAAAGGGGAATCAAGCAGCTCCTCTCTCTTCCCTACGCCCATCAGCAGCAAGGTGTAGCAGAAAGAAAGAATGAACAGGACTCTGCAGAACAGCATGCGCAAACTGTTGCGTGGCATGCGGCTACCCAACCACCAGTGGCCTGACGCGATGGACCACGCTGTCATGCTGCACAACTTGCTCTCATCTTCATCACTACCGAACAACGCATCACCGCATCTGCTGTGGACAGGAAAACAGGGCAGCACAAAAATGTTACGAGTGTTCGGATGCATGGTACAGTACCGACCCCCAGCAGCACGAGTGGGCCGATTTTCACAACGCGCACAGTGGGGACTACACCTCGGCATCGAAAAGAACTACAACGCGTGGAAAATCTTTGACGTCCACTCCAAGGAAACAGTAGCAGCACGCGACGTCATTTTCTACGAACGACTCACGCTCCAGACATACCTTGCCAACCTGCAAGAGGACCAAGATCCCACAGGTGGTTTTCGTGGTGACCGAGCCTTCGCCTCGGCAGCAGACGAAGCTGACTTGGACGAGCAGAATGTGGCCAACGCATCAGAAGAAGCTGGACCCCTTCCGTTCTGCTCCGTCGACGTCCCCATGGACGAAGATAACCCTCGCGAAAGTGTCAACGCCGAAACCTTCTACTACTTCGCCGACAACGGTTACGTAACACCTGCGACAGTCAACACCAACGAAGCAGAACGAGTAGGACCGAATTTCATACCTGATCCAGAAGCGGGAGATGAAGCAGCTTATCCCGAGGATGCAACTCTTCCCCGCTACTCACAGACTGGACTGCAGATTCTCGGACTCGTCACCGCAGTCCACGGCAACACTCTTCCTAAGGAGCCTGCGACGGTTCAGCAGGCTCTGGGGGGGGAACACAGGGAAAAATGGCGTGAAGCCATGGACAGAGAGTTAAAGGCGCTGGAGGAACGGAACACCTGGAAAGTTGTCCCCATCAGCGTGGCAAGGAACAAGACCATTCTCACCGGGAAATGGGTCTTCCGCGTTAAAACAAAAGCAGACGGCACAATTGAGAAGTTCAAAGCACGCTGGGTTGTGCGTGGATTCGATCAGGAGCACGGACGGGACTTCACCGAGACATTCGCCCCAGTTAGCCGACATACCTCACTTCGAATCCTCCTCGCGATCGCCGCCATGAAGAAAAGGAAGCTACGGCAAATCGATGTCGCCAACGCGTTCCTCTACGCACCTGTCGACGTGGAAATCTTCGTCGAGCTCCCACACGGTACCAACGGGGAACCTAACCAAGTCTGTCAACTGCTGAAATCACTTTACGGGATCAAGCAAGCTCCGCGGCTATGGCAACAGTACCTACACGCTCGCCTCATTCGCATCGGATTCCGCCAACTACCTCACGACCAAGGAATGTACCGACTCACTAAAGACACCGACTACATTCTGCTGATCGTCTACGTAGACGACCTACTCTACATCGGCTCCACTGACGACATCACCACCTGGTTCGAAGGGGAGCTACAGAGGGACCTCACACTCACGGTCTCCTCTACCGTCACACAGTACCTCGGCTTGAACATTCGGGAAGAAGAAGGCGCGATCTACCTCAACGCCGCTAAGTACGCCGACACCATCGCCAAACGCTTCGCGCTCACACCTACCACCATCTCTACACCCTACCGCTACGCGACAGGAAACCACAAGGAAGGATCCTCTCTACTCAAATCCGCCGGGATACGCGACTACCAGAGAAAGCTAGGATGCCTTCTCTTCGCAGCTGTCACCTGCCGCCCCGACCTCTCATACTCCGCAAGCCAGCTCGCCACCTACCTCAAGAAGCCTGAAGCAGAACACCTGGCGGAGCTCGACCGCGCTCTCCACTACTTCGTCAGTACCTCAACGATCGGCCTAACTTACTACAAGAACACAACTACACCGACTAAATTAATCGGCTACGTCGACGCTGATCACGCTGGCGACTCCGACAACAGGCGCTCCCGCACCGGCTACATCTACCGCCTCGAACCTATCGGACCGATCTCCTGGCAATCGAGCAAGCAGGAATTAATTGCTCTCTCGTCAGCTGAAGCAGAATATATTGCACTCTGCTCAGCCACCAAGGAAGGACTCTATCTTCGCGAGCTGCTGGAAGAAGCGAAGTTAGCCGAGTTACCCAACTTCACTCTGTTCTGCGACAACCAATCTGCAATTCGCATCGCCAACAAAAATGGATTCGCGAACAGAACGAAGCATATCGCTCTGCGATATTTCTTCGTGAAAGACGAGATTGAGAAGGGGAGACTTGAACTATCCTACTGTCCCACGTTCGAGATGGCAGCTGACTACTTGACCAAGAAGCTCGGAAAACAGAAGTTCGAGTACTGCATGCTGCTGACTGGACAAAGCCACGTCACCAGCAGCGACACTCCAGAAGCGAAGGGGAGTGTTGGGAACAAACAATCTTAAGCGCCTCTGTCGTGTCGAAACACCAAGGCACAAGCGAAGCAGAGCATATCGAGGCACCAGCGAGTCAACCCTCGGAGGTTGAAGTAACCGCTGGAGGTTACGCGAAAGTCAAAGGTCAGCGACCTTTGACTTGACAAATGCAGCGCGACAGCAAGGACACACAACTGACTCGACATTGAGCAGTTGCCCGAGTTGCACTGTATCGAACCGCAACAGTAAAACAGTTTAATTATATCTCTTCGTATTCTTTGTACTCTTATATAAACCTTTGTACTTGCTTGTTTTAATCAACTTACTTTGCCCTCACATACCAGCGCAAGGTGGTTCAAGGACTTCATTTAAACGCTTCCGCTACTACATCACTCTACCCAGAGTTTAACCCTACCAAAGATCCTAAGGGGCACTCAGCCCAACATGGTATGAGAGCTGGTTAGGGTTAAAATTATTTCTCCTTAACACCTAATACACCAAGAGACATGTCTACCAGAAAGGAGAGGAGCTCCTCCAACGGCTCTCCTGGTACTACTCCTACTCCACCTCCTGCCTCTGGCCTACAGACAGAGGAAGGCACAACAACGAGACCGGCAGCTGGGTCTACTGAAACACCCGCAAACCAAGGCGCGGGCTTCGATCCAAGCATGATGGAGAAGTTCTTCTCCTTCATGTCCTTCTACGAGCAGCATCAGCAAGGAGCACCTGCGCAATCAAACAACAGCAACAACAACAACAACGTGACGCCCATGAGTCTCGATGGCTCATCCTACGCACGCGGGAATCAACAACAGCAACCTACCTTCGCTCCGTACGAGCCCCAGCGCGGCTCCGTCAGCTTCATGCCACAACCACAACCTGCACCGGGACAAGAGAGAACGCTGGACGCACTACAAGTTCAGTCGCAGTTCGCGCACGTTCTAAAACTGCAAACGACAAAACCCTTCGACGGGAAGGATTTCTTTACCTGGTCGTTCGAATTCGAGCTGATGATGGAAGGAGCGCAAATCCTTGGCTTCTTCGACGGGTCCCTGCCATACCCAACAAACGGCACACAGTATGAGAAGCAGCAGTACACCTATCAATCGATGATGGCGTACACGATACTACTGAGGAACATCACTCCAACTCAACAACAAAACATACGGTCTTACCGAGGCTACGGCAACTCCGCGGAGCTCGCGTACAATCACTTGAAGAGGATTGGAACTCTTGTCAGAACATTATAGCTTATGCTGTTGTGTAGGCTATAGTGGGGTATCCCATAGGGGGTACAACCAATTAGGGTTTCATATTTGTACTCACTTCATTTTCATAGTTCACTCATTCTCGTTCTCATTATCACATGGAATCAGAGCAGGTCCCCTCCTAGGGACTGTTCCTTGGGCCCACCGAAGCGCGCCTCGAGTCGCGCCTGCCTTTTTTTTTTTTAGCGACCCGTCGAGTCGCACCTAGCGGCCCGTCGCGCCGCCCTTACGGTCGCGTCGAGCCGCCCTAGCGGCTGCGGCGCGCCGCCCTTTTCCCGGCCCGTCGCCGCCCTTACCCGCGGCTTTGCGCCGCCCTCACCGGCGGCTTCGCGCCGCCCCTACCTGCGGCTTCGCGCCGCCCAGGCCCGTCGCCGCCCTTCCCGCGGCTTCGTGCCGCCTCTATCTGCGGCTTCGAGCCGCCCCGGCCCGTCGCCGCCCTTACCTGCGGCTTCGCGCCGCCTACGGCCCGTCGCCCCCCTTTTCTGCGGCCCCGCCGCCTCTCTCGTTGCGGCCCCGCCGCCCGTCTTCGCGGCCCCGCCGCCATCTCTCGCTGCGGCCCCGCCGCCACTCACTGCGGCCCCGCCACCCGTCTCAGCGGCCCCGCCGCCCGTCTTCGCGGTCCCGCCGCCTCTCTCGCTGCGGCCCCGCCGCCTCTCACTGCGGCCCCGCCGCCCTACTCAGCGGCCCCGCCGCCCGACTTCGCGGCCCCGCCGCTTCTCTCGCTGCGGCCCCGCCGCCTCTCTCGTTGCGGCCCCGCCGCCCTTCACTGCGGCCCCGCCGCTTCTCTGCAGCGGCCCCGCCGCCCGTCTTCGCGGCCCCGCCGCCTCACTACCCAGCGGCCCCGCCGTCCTTCTGCAGCGGCCCCGCCACTCCTCTACAGCGGCCCCGCCGCCCTACGTCAGCGGCCCAGCCGAGCCGCCCAACAGCAGCGCAGCCGAGCCGCCCAGCAGCAGAGCAGCCGAGCCGCCCCGCCGCCGAGCCGCGCTGCAGCCGAGCCGCCCGGCCGCCCACCAGCCGAGCCGCCGTGCAGCCGACCGCCCAGCCGCCGAGCCGCCCAGCCGCCGAGCCGCCCAGCGGCCGAGCCGCCCTGCAGCCGAGCCGCCCGAGCAGCCCTGTCCGGTGAGCACAGACCCTCTGTCACTGCGTGCTCTTCCCCTACTCCTTGCACTGCTGGTCTACTGCTGTCATGGCTACCCCTAGTGTCCTCACTTTTGACGCTGAGGGTCGGGCCATTGACTTTGAGGTCTGGGTAGATGACCTACAGCTGTTCTTACAGTGCGATAGGGCGGACGGCCTCTCTCTCTTTGACCTCACCTCTGGCGCTTCCCCTGCCCCTGCTGCTGATGCTGACGCCACTGTTCGCTCCCAATGGGCCACGCGCGATGCTGCTGCACGTCTTGCTGTGCGTCGCCACCTCCCTACCTCCGAGCGTGCGCACTTTAGTCAGTACAAGAGTGCTCAGACCTTGTACGCCGCTGTAGTCGCGCGCTACTCCTCCCCTTCCACTGCTGCACTGAGCCGTCTCATGCTGCCGTACCTCTTCCCTGACCTTGCTTCTTTTCCCACCGTTGCTGACCTCATTACGCACCTCCGCACTAGTGACACTCGCTACCGCGCTGCACTTCCTGCTGACTTCTGCACCGCGAACCCCCCCCCCATGTACATCACTCTGTACTTCCTAGTCACTCGCCTCCCTGACTCCCTTCGAGTAGTCAGGGACCACTTTCTCTCAGTCTGTCCCACCACACTCACTGTAGACCTCCTCGAGAAGGCCCTCCTCGCGATAGAAAAGAGCATAGTCGCTGTAGGAGCCTCTCGAGGTGACCCGCGCACCCCCATCTTTGAGGGGTGTTCTCCCTCCCCCCTGCTGCCCTCTGTTGCCTCTGCTGCTTCGGCCGACCTCCTTGGTCTTGAGTCGGTCGGTGCGGCGTCTGCCCCTAGCGGGAGACGCCGCCCTGGCAAGGGCAAGGGGGGCAAGGGAGCTGGAGGTAGCGGGCGGTGGAGGTGGAGGTGGAGGCAGTGGGGGGAGTGGGGGTAGCGGTGGAGGTGGAAGTGGGGGTGGGGGGGTTCGGTTGGCGGCAGTGGAGGCGGAGGCCGCGGCGGCGGTGGCGGTGGTAGCGGAGGTGGCGGAGGAGGCGGCGGTGGAGGAGGCGGTGGAGGCGGCGGCGGCAGTGGAGGCAGCGGAGGCGGTGGAGGCGGTGGGGGTGGCGGTGGAGCTGGTCGCGGGTCTTTGCAGAGGAGTGGCTCCGGTGGTGGCTCGCGCCAGCAGCAGCAGCGTGGTCGTGCGACCCTGTCCCCTCAGCAGCTCCGTGAGTGGTACACTGCACGCCAGCGGGGTGGGGGTTTTGGTCCGTGTACCTACGTCCTGCGCACCGGCGACCGTGCGGGTGAGCAGTGTGGGGGTGCGCACCCCACTCCGCGCTGCTTTGGCCGCCTGACGGACGCATGGCGTCACCAGTTCCCGGAGGCCTCCGAGATCCCTCGCTGGGACGAGCTGTTTAGGGCGGGGGTTGCCATCTTTGATCTGGACTTTGATGCTATTCTCTCTGCCATGTATGCTGTGTCTCTAAGTGATGAGGGTGACTGTTACCGGTGTTTCCAGCCCGATCCGGGCATTGAGACTGCTGCTCTAGGGTACTGGTGAGGCTGCTGCCCTAGGTGCTTACGACGCTGCTGCTCTAGGTGCTGGTGTGTCTGCGTCCTCAGGTACTGGTGAGTCTGCTCTCTCAGGTACCGCGTCGGCTTCGGCCTCTCCCTCACCTTCACTCTTGACTCTGGGGCGTCTCGCTCCTTCTTTCGGGACCCGCACCACACTCACGCCGCTTAGCGAGCCGGTTGCGGTGTCTCTGGCTGACCCCTCTGGGGGTCCGGTCTCTGTCTCGTTTCTCCACAGTCCTCCCGTGTCGGCGGCTCCCTCTGGCACCCTGTCTGGTCTCTACCTCCCCTCGTTCTCGACGACAACCTGGTGAGTGGTGCTGACCTACAGGATGCGGGTGTCCACCAGTTCACTCCTGCAGTCAGACGAGTGACCCACTGTACAGAGGCTGGCACAGGCCGACACCTGGCTACGTTCACCCGTCAGCCGGGGTCGAGCCTGTACACTCTGACCACTGCGTCTCTCC